TAAAAATAGAAAAAGCCCTAACTTTTTTCTGAGACTGTAAAGCAATCTTTTTTCTACAAATGTGGAAACCTGAAATATTTTACGAAGAAAATGTACTCTTAATTTACCTCGCTCAGACGCAACATTTTCCAACTAAATGACTTTAAATATATCACTGGTTTATAAACACTTATTTGTATAAAAAATTATTAGTATGCTGTGAAACTAAAATTACTTGTCAGTTATGTGTGCCAGTTTACATTTAACGTCATAATTAAGTTGAGATCTTTTGACGCGTTTTTGTAAAATTAATTAAAGATGGAGCGCATTTCCAACAATGAGTTAGCTGATATTCATTTTATTTACGGTCACTGCAATGGTAACGCACGAGCGGCTTTAAGAAAGTATCAAAGGCGGTGTCCAACAAGAACATATAGATGGGAAATTACTTGGCACTGTACATAGGAATTTAAGAGATCAAGGAAAATATAGACGCTCCCGATGACAAGGACGTTTTTTGGGGAACTAGAATTTAGACAAAGCGCTAAATAAAATTTCAGATAAACCTCAAATAGCATTAAGACCGCTGACAAATATTACCAATATCCTTAAATCCATTGTAAGCATTTTTAATTTTACCGAGTATGAAAAAACGAGTGAATGTCTTCATGCTATTTTTTCATTATTAAAAAAAGGATAAAGGATTAAAAAAAAGATTTCATGAAGTCATACAACACATACTTTAATTTAAATTATATTTTCAGATCGAAAGAATGACTCCTTTCCTTTTGGATTGCATCCTTTCCATTATAAAAGGGTACATGATTTAAGAGCAAACGATTTTACAGCACGTACAGAATTTTGCCGTTGGATTCTAAGCCATCAACATTATTTAAAAAGCAGTTTATGGTCGGATGAGGCAACCTTTTCATGAGGCAAAGCATTCAACAGTCATAATACTCATTTTTGGAACCTCGAGAGTCCTAGAGTTGTTCGAAGGGCAAACTTCCAACAAAGATCCTCTTTTAATGCATGGGCACGTGTCATAGAGAATATCTTGATAGGACCGATTATTTTATCAAATAGGTTAAATACCCACAATTGTTTCAATTTTCTATAACATGATCGGCAAGAATTGCCAGAGGAATATGGAGGCGGTTTGAAATGTTCTTCCAGCATGATGGCGCCCAGCCCCTTTTGGTCAACCTGCAAGTGAATAGGTCAAGATGGCCCAGTAGACTGGCCAGCTCGATCGCCTGATCTAAACCCTTTGGATTATTATCTCTTGGGTAATATGTCCAATAATATTTATGCCACAGAAGTAGACAGCCCAGAGGAGCTTCTAAGGCGGATTCGCGCGGTCGGAAACCGAATAAAACAAATCCTTTTTGAAATTCTCCGGTCCCCATGTAAGGAAAAGGGCCAAACTGGGCATTCACGAAAATGAAAATTTGTTTGAACATTTACTCCAGTAAATTAGTGTCGATAATAATATTTACTCAAACTATAAAATGTTTATGGATAGCAGTGATATTTTTACAGTCATTTAGTCGGAAAATGGTGCGTTTGAGTGAGACTGGTGAGAGAAATAATTTGCAAAAAACTCTACTGCTTCAAGAAGGCGTAGCTCCGTTAGGAAGCATTTTTCGATACATGTTTATTTCAAAAATTAATATTATTTTTGGGAGCATTTCGGGACACTCTGTGTAAAACTGGCATAACCTTATAACTTATCGTTTAAGACATAAAATAACAAATTTTACTATTATACTATACATTTATTGTTAAATATAAATAATGAAATAAAGCATAATTTAAAAAAAATCATAACAGCCTTTCAAACTGTCCCTCTGTTTTGATCGGAACGCAATTGTGCTCTTGCCAGAAAAATAAAACATTCATTCACTTCTCGTAACATCTCAATGCTTTTACTATTAGAAGATTCAAATAACGGCTGAAATTGAAATAATTCTCTAAATTTTCCGAAATAACTTAAAAACGTTTAGTGTTGATGTAGTACACCTTACTGTCCCTTAAAGTTTACGATAAATTCGAAAGTTTAATACAAATTGTGGGGTTCGATTTTAAATGAGCAAATAATTGAGATTCGAAAACACGCAAATTCGGACTTTTATTGGGTGGTTCCTGGAGAACTTTTTATAAAAGTAAACTAATGCATGTCACCATTTGGTTCACATGTTAGGTCCGCTCGGAGTACCAGAAGTCCGATTCCAAATCAAAGTCATTTTTTGTGAAACGCTACTTTTACATATTTTTCCGGCTAATTCAAAAGCCTTCTAAATTTTTCATAAAAAAAATTAATTCTAAATAACACGTAATATAACGAAAAATGAACTAAAACAACTTCAAAATATGGGGGTTTTATTTATTATAAACTATAGTCGGTGACTACCATACGTTCACGACGCACCCCATACGTTACGTACGTCATAATTATTTTGTCCAAAATGTCCAGTCCAAAAAACAAAATCCAAAATGCAGATTTACTGCTATATACCACTTTGAGGCACGAATGAGCTATCCTTATAGAACACAACAGTAAAACCCTCTGTTATGTATAATTGGAACTATTAAATAAACTATTGAAAAATACTACTTACTTTTGCTAAATGATATAGCAAATAAATACAGATCAAAAACCAGCAACTATCACTCGTGAATTTAAGAGTCTAGGTAATGTCACAACGCGCCGTTCAACTACACTAAAGTGAGTACCACCAAATGTGCAAAGAAGCGAACTAAATTCTGCAAACCGTAGAACACGTTTGTTGCCGTCGTCAACGTAACGATTAGTTTCTATCAAAATTTCGTTCGCGAACCTGAGGTTACTAGAATTTGTGCAAAAGTACCAGTGGTGCACAGCGAAAGAGTTTTTACTTTCCTTCATTCAGTGGCTTTGGTGGGGTGGCCCATACTGTCGAAGGCTGTCTGCTATTGCATTATACGCGTTCCACTATAGACCATTTCGATGAAGACATTGAAACGCTCGGACGGCAGACGTAACCGACATATGATCGGGCTTATGTAATAATTTTAGCAATCTTATTTTTTTGGTTTTGCCAACTGGTTCTTGTAGGAAACGGGTGTAGAGCGTTTCTTTATACAGAAAGTCCCAACACGTCTTTCTTTGTGTGACGTCAAAATTGAGCCCAGGGCCTTCTTTTGGCGGTATCGGAACAACTCCTCTTAATGGCAGAATATTAATGGCAGAATTACTGTCATGCATAAGAAGGGTGAAATTATAATAATGATAATAATAATAATCACTTTATTTAGCATATTTGCTAGCACATAATGGCTAAGTTCATAATCACTGTTTTTATTCGAATGAATCTAAAAGTGCAATTTTTCGATCGGAGAGATGATCATAAAGAAGCACTTTTCTTTATTGTTCATTTGTTTTACTTTGACGCACATAGGCGCAAAAGTTTTTCGAACGAGGACGGCGTTTCGTCTCGACTTCGTCTCGGGTGTCAATCCGTCCGGATTTCGAAAAAGGGATTTTCGCTTTCCATTCCATCATTTTTCCATTAGAAAAGGTCATTCGAAACAAATTTGTGATATTTATTTTGTATTTATGTTTCGTATAACGATATTTGCAGTTAATGTTTAACATTATTAAGTGGCAAGAAAACAGAAATAGGTATTTTTTTCGCAAAAACTATGAACGCTACAAGATTTTACAACGATCACAAAATTGTGATCAAATAATTAGTGCATCAACTAAAAAAAATGAGTTTGATTTCAGCCCCCAAATAAAAAGTTCTGGTAGTTTTTGTACCACGACACACCAGAATTCACCTCGTATTTACATTAACTGTTATATTTTCATCTAGAATGTTATTTGCTTTACGGCAACTTCTGTTTTTAAAAAGTTTTATTAACAGAAATTACAAGCGTGTAGGTATACCCAGGATGAACCATACTTAATGACTAATTAAAATTTCCACGGGCTTCCTATTTATATGATTAGTCTACTGCTGAATATGCATTTCTATACTCAGCAGCATAAAGGTCGTATCCCTATTTATGACTCTCCTGGTAGATTTAGAAAAAACGCTCAAAAACGTAATTTTTTTTTTAAGTCTTGCTGACCACCACTGCATTAGACAGGGTGTTTCATAAACAAGATACTACGTCACACTTTTCAAATGGAAACCAACTAGTTTTATGTCATTTTTCAATCCTGCCAGAAGTTTGTAGTAAATTTGGTTTAACATGTTCGTTACCCATCTTCAACCGGTTCAGTTTTATTTAATGATCGAGATATTGAGCCGTTCGGAAGTATCGCACTTTGCCGTTTCTATGGATGCCTCTGACAATTTAGTCAAAACAACCGTCAAGTGTCAGTGTGGGCTTAACGTTTTTTAACTTAACTACTCGTTTAGGAACCTATTTTAATACTCGAAATTTGCAACATTTAATAATTTCCTTTAAATTAAATAAATTAGTTATTAAGCAAAAACAATATTTATTAGGGAAACATATGCACTTCAATGTAGTAATAAATGTTGAAAATGGGGTCAGTTTTCCTTCGTACAGTAATAAAGATTTTGCTCAATTCTTTTGCTGCCATTATTAACAAGTAATCTGAAGAAATTTGTTTGAGCTCATGTGGAAAACTTCTTCAATCGACTCTGGTTTAGAGTCATAATTTTGTAAATTGGACCTCACCTACCAATCCACCAACTATGAAAGTTGTTATCTTCTTAAAAATGAAGATATTTGGCGTTATGGTAACTGTCCCCAGGTAGCACACCACGTCTTATAGACGTCTAAACTACGACATAAGATTCGGCCAGAAGACGTCAGATAGCTGGTCATTTGGACGTCCAAATGACCGCTACATGACACATCTTCCAGACGTCTGATTAATGACGTCGGCTAGACGTCTGCTTATTGACGTCACTTAAACGTCGGTTTTAGGTCTGTACATGGTCAGTACAATTACTTTATATTGAGGAAATGTTTTGGTTACAATAAGACACTATAGAATCTTAAATCGTATTTTATTGACAGGAAGCAAGCAAAGATGGTTACAACTTTAATTAATTAAAAGTATTTCTGACCAGCCACAAAAATAATAATAAAAACCGGAGGACAGATAAAAAACTACTATTCTTACGAACCCGTTCGAAAGAAAACTCTTTTTATTCCAAAAGGCCTCCAATTGCTGTCAGCTTCGACTTCGTCAGTAAGAAAGAGCCTTTCTAAACGCTTTCCTCCTCTTAATCGGAGGTCACAGTACCTCTTGCTTGAGTGGTGTGAGCAAGTTCTGGTTGATTACTGCCAGCTTCCTCGCCAAAAGAAGAAGTTTGATGCGCTGATGGAAAAGCTTCAACGATCCAGCAAAACAGGGCCATCACCCGAGGAGAACCAACGGAAGATTGTGGTCAACTTTACCAGCAAAGAACTTACTGCTGACGAACAAAGCGTGCTGGTCAAGGGAGGAAACTTTGCCATAGTACCGTCCAGGTCACCAGTAGAGGACATCATATCAAATGTAAAGAGTGGCACACGTTCGCTGCCCATTCAAACCGCAGAACAGATAAGGGCCGAGACTTTGAGAGTTTTACAACGCTCAAAGCCTCCGAAGAGCAACCTCACTTTCAGTGAAAGGAAAGCCCTGAAAACGCTGAATGAGGATAAGGAGATTCTCGTATTGCCAGCTGATAAGGGCAATGAAAAATTTGAGAAAAACGCTCTGGACACAGCCGTGAGAAAACCTAAGTGTTGGTTTCGCTGTTGATGACACTTTTGTTGTTTGGGGCCATGGTCTGACTGAACTTGAAGACTTCCTGATGCACCTCAACTCAATAAACCCTAAAATTCAATTCACTATGGAAGTGGAGAAGGATGGGCGACTGCCGTTTTTGGATGTCTTGGTGACCGGAAAAGCCAACGGAAAGCTGACCCACACGGTGTACAGAAAACCGACACATACCGACCGGTCCCTGCACAGTGGTTCAAACCATAATCCCAGTCAGAAATGAGGACTCATCAAAACTCCCACCGAAAGAGCCGGAAGAATCTGCAAACCAGCCGAGTTAGAGAGAGAATTAAAACACCTGGAAAGGGCCTTTGGTTGGAATGCATATAATAAGAAAGATTTCAATAGAGCAATTCGACCAAAAAACAGTAAAGATCGCTCGGAGATAACAGAGACGCATGATGAGCGTAAGAGTTGGGCTTGCCTCCCGTACATACATGGAGTCACGGACAGCATCGGCAAGATACTGGAGAAACACCAAGTAAAACCATTTTTAAACCAACTCGCACCATCCAGCGGACTTTGAGATCGGCCAAGGACAAACGGGATTCTTTATCAGCGCCAGCAGTCTACAGAGTTCCGTGCAGCTGTGGAAGAGCATACATCGGCACCACAAAACGAAACATAAACACTAGGATCACGGAGCACAAACGAAGCTGCAGATTTGGACAAACAGAAAAATCAGCAGTAGCGGAGCACGCACTGCTAGACGGCCACCAAATACGATTCGACGAAGTGGACATTCTGCACCAATCTGAAAGATACTACCCGAGACTCACCAGAGAGGCCATCGAAATAATTAAACACCAAAACAATTTTAACAGAAAAGAAGAAATTACGGCACTCAATCAAGATTTTGCGCCAAACAGCATGTGCGCCGAAGCGTTGCATACCCCCACCCTTCCCCCACGCATGAACACACACGGCTTGGCTGCATAAATCCGACCGGGAATCCAGCAGTTGAATCATAGATAGTTCATACTTTGATCAGTAAACATCGTGCTACGCATCGCGCTCTGCAGAATCACAGTGTTGGAAATCGAAGCGAAAACTGTCTACAAGACTTTACCATTCTT